TGTAGAATGAAAAATTGCTCGGAACACCTCTAAGGACTTAGGAAAAATGAAATAAAAAATTAATAAATTTTTTTGGGTCAGAGTCAACTAAAGAAGAGCGGAGAAAAGAATAAGAAAAACATAAAAGGAAAAAAGAAGTAACAGAAAAAGAGAGAAAATGAGAGTTTAGGATTTTTAGAGAGTGAAATATGCTCCAGAAACTGTTTGGAATTATATTTCATGCGAGTTCCATGAGAAATGTTCAACGGCTTTTAAGTAAAAAAAAATAATAATAATAATGAAAAGTAGAGTTGGTGCTAACGATTCGAGTTTTATGTAAAAAGATATGAAAATGTGAAAGAAAATAGGCTCAATCAAAATATTCATTAGTTTTTGAAAAAGTTAGGTTCACACGCCAATACTTGAAGGATACATGTCCGTAGGCAGTCTGCACATTTGGATGAGGAATGAACATGTGTCATATGGTGAGAGCGTATCAGCCAACCAATGGGGTGAGAACATGTGTCATATGGTAGTCTAACTCGCATTTGACTCTAGTCCGCATCCAACTTAGCAACCCGCATGCGACCTAGTCTAAAACCTGCAACTCGAGCCGATAGTTATGCCAAACTGGTTTAGTCGCATCACTTCTGGAGCACCATGTGTCGAGCGATAGGCACAAGTATGTTATCTAGACGCATGTGGCTAGTCATGTATATAGGCATGTGTATTCTACACCATTGCTTGCCTGAAGGTGCGTGAGTTCCTCCTTTTTGGCTCATTTTACTATTTTTTCGCTTTGATTTCAATACTAACCCTAATTTTACTTGTATTAGGACCTATCAAAGAAATTTATGAAATTTGGGAGCTCCAACATGCAAAAAAAAATCTAGCTTAGTAAGGCACTTGACAATCATGCAAGTAACCACATGAATTTTAAAATATAATACTGGTAGGAATTGTTTGGTAACACATGCATGTTAGAAAAACAAAACCTAGGTGGATAGATTTAGGACGATTGGATAAGCATGAGATTAGTCACCCTTGTTACTGACATAACTTAATCAATCTTTGCATGATGTAATAGACTCTTTTTCTATTGCTGATACATAATAGCGATGAAGTAGAAGATGAGAATTTGTATCTATGCCCTTTTGGTTCTCAATGGATATTATCCCCCCATAGAACATGTGTGGGCCATATGCATGATTTACCATACAATAACAAAAGGTGATTGAATGTGTGATTCTCCAGGGTAGAGTTTAAGCAGTAGAAACATAATAAGATTAGGTTGTGAGCGTCAGTTTTCGTACACAATAACCTAGGATAGAATGCTTCTAATAGTATGAGCCCATTAGAATCGTTAGAGTCGATAAAGAGTGTAGCCCTAATGCTCCCGACCGAACCAGACTCAAAGAGATGGAACCGAGTTGCCCAAGTACCTCCCATGGATGATAAGCAGGCTAGCACTCACCATGCTGACCTCATCTATTAGAGAGAGTTCTGAGAGGTATCACCTTAACATTGGACACGGGTTACCGCTACGTATTCTCCCAAGTTTATGAATAACAAGAGATCTCCACCTAGAGCCTAGAGTAAAACCCGTGATCACAAGCTAGGTAGAGGATGCGAAGTCTACAAATAGATTATTTATTGGTTATATTTATTTACTCACCCCTTTCCTCTTTTATTCTGTAGGTGTTCGCAAGCTACCACTCTATATTTTTTTTTTTTTGAGTCTTTGTATTACATTTTATAATTGTATCTCAAATCCATTTTCCATTTGCAAAAAATTTAAGCAGCATTGTCTTTTAGTTGTATTTAATTTTATATTTTTATTGTGGTATTGTTGGACTAAATTTGATTTTAATTTTACTTCATTTTATTATTATTTATTTTTTCTTTTATCTTTTTAGTCTTGATTCGGGTTTCCCTAACTCAAAATTTAAGTTGTGACCCCTTGAGTTTTTTCTACCGTGGATAATATTAAATTATAACTTAAATAATTGTTAAATAATTAATTACAAGATTTTAGGACAGAGGGGTCCTAGAGGATGAGATTATGAATCCTCCCAAAGAGAGGTAGATATCTATGACAAAGACTTCAAAACGAAAAAGCTACAAACAAGGGACCTCGTTTGCTTCATATGCAAGGTGACCTATCAAAAATTTGAATACCCACAAAGGGTGGCTCTCCATGCCTTCCAAGCCAAAGCATCGAAAACCCTTGCATTGGGGACCTTGAAGTACTATCTGCTTTCAAAAGAGAGTGGAGGAGACAAAAGAACCAATAGAATGAGGTCTTATGTACATTGAGGTCTTGGTTAACCATAGATCGGCCAAGAGTAGAATGATCAATTCTAGAGTCATCCATAACTTCATGATAGAGACAGAAGAGAAATGCTTAAACACTCTCTAGCATCAAGACATTGGAATGATGAAACTGGCAATCTTGTAGCCTTAACTATCTCAAAAGTTGCAAAGGGAACTCCAATCAAGTTGGAGACTTGGATTGAGCAAACCGATTTTATGAGTATTAAGATGAATGATTTCAATGTCGTGTTAGGGATAGATTTTTTTTTCTTAAACGTAAGGTCATTTCCATGCCTCTAATAAAGTCAAACCACACCATCATTCATATTGATAGCCAATAACCAAAAGGGTAAAGATGATATCGATACTATAATTGGGTACTATAATTGAGACACGGTCTTACCCATGATGAATTCACACTAATCATCATTCCCATTATGGAAGAGGAGGGCTCCACTGAGCAAATTCAAATAGAAACTTCTCATTAGAGGAAAATCACAACATAAGGCTTCCCCAACTAGTGTCTATTCGAAGAAAAAAAATCATCGAAACGAATGAATAGAATAATAATCGGAAACACAAGCCGCAAAAAGTTTAGAAGTGAGATCCGATCAACTTCAATTCTAAAACAATAAGAATCAGCCGCTGATGCAAAAATACTATAAACTAGTCAAAGTCATGTAAAAGGTTTGGAAGGCATCATATAGGAACCGATTGCTCCCATGGATGAGGACTAGTTATGTTATCCACATCATAAACTTGAAACGTTACTATCCCAATAAAAAAGACACCAATAACAATGCGGCAACATGACCTCCTACCATGATGAAGAATCTCATTATGAAGGAAGTAGAAGAGAGTTTGGTTGAAAGATACGACACATCAACAGATTAAGAAAAAACTTATAAAAGTTCTTAGTAGATCGGAAGAGATATCATAGTGCCGAGATCGATTGGAAACACTTCGAGAGAGCTAAAGTCAGCCTCATCCTACATTGCTTAGTTCGTTAAGAGTTAGTTGATAAAGACGTCAACCAATTGAGTGGAGGAGAATATCACAATCAAGCTTGTCAAAGGTTTGTTACTTGTAGTCGCATTCTAGATGTCACTGTCATGTTTATCCAAGGCGTATTGTCTATAGTCTCATGCTTGTTTGAGACCCCTTTTACTTGTTTTCTTGTAGTTAGGTCTTTATCATTTCTATTATGTCAATTCGAAAGTGTATGACCGTTCACCAAAATCATGTTTGTACCTACCAGGACCAAAATGCCTCAAAATATATTATAGAAGGATGTGACAAGTTTTCAATTTTTCCTACCCGAGTTATATGTATGTCCTAATAGTTGCTTAAGGCACCCAACCTTTCTATTCATAAGATATCTCTCTCTCATCCCTCACTTATTTTACCTTTTCATGGATCTCTCTCCCTTCATCCCTCGTATATTTGTTGGCTCTACACCAATTAGATTTTAGTTCATTAATTTTTAACGGATCAAGTTTAGTTTACAAACTTTCAACTACTTCTGAGTGTGGTCAATGATTTTTACAAAAATATAAGTTATAAAACGAGATCATAGTGATAATTGGATTCAATTTAATCAATCGAGATGTCTGTTATAGTGATACAAATCTATCATTGGTAGACTTTAAGACTTCAAAAAATGTAACATTTATAAATTATTTCTTTGTGTGATGCATTTGTAAATTTATTGGATAGTTACAAATACGACAAACAATTCTGCCTCTCATTATTTGTGACATCTTTGCAAATAAAAAGCCACCAACTTTCTATTACATCACTAACCACGACATGATAAAAAAGATTGAAAGTATTAGGAAATTGTTATTTTTATTATAATAGAGAATCAATATAGAAGCCTTATCTAAAAATATAAACATCTAAAAGTATTAGAAAATTGTTATTATTATAGTAGGACGTTGAGAAGCCAATGAAATAGATATTGTTACATTGCATAGTTGTGTAAGTGACCCAAACAATTAATTAAACATCCATTTTTTTGAAAATAATCGGTTGGAAAAATTAGGTTTTTTTTTAGTTAAAATCTTCCCATCCTTTTTAAGTTAAAACAAAAATAAAATCATAGAAACTTTTTTTTAAAAATGAGAGACCGGTCAATCATTAAAATGCTAATTAGTGTCTTGTCTTAAAAGATAGACTTAAATTTAAAAATTAAATTTACCTTCCTGACCTACATAATTAAAAATTGTTAAACCATATAAAAACAATAAGGGTTAAATAGAACAAGAATAATTAAAAATTGTTAAACCATATAAAAACTATAATGGTTAAATAGAACCAGAATAAAATAGTACTAGAGGCCGGTAAGTTAAAATTAGAGTTGGAAGGATAAGCATTGACTTATAAATTCACTCCACACCTCTCCTATTTTCCTATCACTTGCTTACTTTCTCTCTCTCTCATGCTTATCATGAACACTTGTATCATTAAGTTTTCTTTCTCTCTTCTTGTAATCTTACATGTTTTTCTTTCCTTTCTACTTTTGTTTTTTAACCATGCCTCAACTACTGAATTAACATTCAATATTGTTACTCTTGGAGCTAAGCCTGATGAAAAGACCGATGCCTCGCATGTGCTTCAAATGGCATGAGCTAAGGCTTGTGACTCATCTGAACCAACCACTATTTACGTTCTCGAGGGTATATACTTTGTTCGAAGTGTGAGATTTAATGGGTCTTGTAAGAACAATGCTTTACTGTTCTCATTGATGGAACTCTCGTGGCTTCCTCTGACATTCAAGTTTTAGCTAATTCTAGTTCTTGGATTTTGTTTAATCACATAAATAGGCTTTTCATTACTGCGGTATTATTGATGGGCAAGGAACTCCCTTGTTGAATTGTAAACACTCAGGGAAGAGTTGCCCCATTGGAGCCTGGGTATGCAGAATTTGAGTTGGCTCCATATAAAAAAAATTTGAAAATTTTTCGTTAACTGAAAGTTGAATGAAAATGACCCGATTAATTACAATATTATTTTAAATTTGTACTAATTCTCACTTTTGATTGTTTTGAATTGATAGAGTCTTCAAATAAATGATGGAAAGAACGTGAACATCAATGGATTATCTTCAATTAACAGCCAATTGTTTAGCATTGCAATGAATCGGTGCCAAAACGTGCATATGACAAGGGTGAATGTCTTGGCTGCAGGTGATAGTCCAAACACTGATGGCATCCATGTGCAACAATCATCAGATGTGACCATCCTCAACTTGAACATTGGAAACGGTGACGACTGCATCTCCATCGGTCCAGGGACATCCAACATGTGGATGGAAAGTATTACATGTGGACCTGGACATGGAATCAGGTAACTAGAGATAGATTAGGATTAACATGTTTAGAAATGGTTTTTAAAGGGTTTAAATCAATTTGTCACATTAATTTTTAAAAGATAATCTAAACCTTAAATAAATTTGAATGATTAAAATATATTCTAAAGTGGTTTGAAAGGGGAGAAAAATGATTTAAATTATTTTAAAATTACTTTGGATAAAAACATTTATATAATATATTATGTTGCGAGTGAGGAAATAAAGGTCAGGAAACATTTGGTATTTTGTTGAATGTGTTTGTAGCATTGAGAGCTTAGGAATAAAGGCTGAGGAGGATGGAGTGCATAACGTTACCGTGAAATCAACTACATTCACAGGGATTCAGAATGGAGTAAGAATTAAGTCTTGGGGAAGACCAAGCAATGGATTCGCTACATTCATATTCAACACATTATTATGGATAATGTGAAAAACTCAATCATAATTGATCAAAATTATTGTCCCATCTCAAAGATTGTCCTGGTCAAGTATATTTCCTCCTTAATCACATACATGTTAATTTTTTTCTAATTATAATTAAGCTTCAATGTGATGAATAGAACTTAAATTTTAAATTTTATAAATAATTGATTTATTTTATCTTAAATCGTTTGAAATTTGTTTGGGTTTAAGATGGACACTAAATTATTAGTATTATTTTTTGGTACATTAAATTACTTTTATACGTAATAAATTAGGGACCCTATTACTCTCCGATGTCTTAAAATGGTATGAAGCTTTTATGATTTTATTTTTTAATTTATCCAAAATATTTAAATCATTGGAGATAATTGCTCTAATTATATATACTATCTAGAAAATCTAAGATTATGTTCGGATTTATATCTTATTTGTTGTATATATTTATATTTTATTATTGAATTCCTAATTTATATTTGGTTTTATAATATAGTTTTATTATATAACTTAGGGTTTCATAGAATTAAAAATTTTAGGTGGAGAATAACTCAGTAAACAAGTTTAAATGGTAAATTTTTTTTATAGATGTTCTTGTTTATTCGTTTTCATAGCATATTTTGATTGTTCTTCTTTATTTTAATAGGATTCTGGAGTTAAAGTTAGTGAAGTAACATTCGAAGACATTAAGGGAACTTCAGCCACTAAAATAGCAATCAATTTGATTGTAGTCCAATAAATCATTGCATTGGATTTAGCTTTATAGACATAAAGCTAACTTACGAGAATCACATCGCTAAAGCTTCATGTAAAAATGCTGAAGGAACTACCTCTAGTGTGGTTGAACCTTATAGTTGTTTAGCATCGGCAAACTTTTATCCATATACTATAGACCCTTTAGATTATTCTTAAACATGATACTCTTGTATGTCAATCACATATGGGATAATATTAAATTTTAAATAAAATAATCAAAGTTATTATTAAAATTAAACAATTAATTACTTTAGGGCATAAATCTTAACACTCTCAATCACTTAGATATTGTGACATTTTCTCCACTATTTATGTTACCCTAGTTTATCTGAGTAGCCTAGATCATAGATGGTAGCATCATGGTATCTACTTATTCCAACACTTGATCTTAGCATGCCTTTCCTTATAAGGAATTTAGTAGGGTCGGTCTCAGTCAAAGCTCTACCTGCTATACCATCTGGTATAGTAACACTTCAGGTTTAAGGGTCCATAATCTATCATCATGCAATAGACTCTAAGTTATTAGGTATGGTAACCAATTGTATCCTAATTAGTTCATAAGATAGTAACTGACTAATTCACATAAGAAGTGAGATCATGCCTACTAACCTTACAACTTACATACCTTGTCAAGGCGAGGGGAGCTTAAGTCAAGCTACAGGCTATCACGGTCATGCTTGTCCAAGGCGTGTTGCCTACGGTCGCGTGTCAGATGTCCCAATCATGCTTGTTCATGACGTGTTGTCCAAAGCCGCATGACCATTCCAAACCCATTTACTTACTTTCAAGTTAGATAGACATTTACTATTATTGTTGTGTTAGTACGGGGGTGTATGACCTGTCAACAAAATCATGTCTACACTCGTCAGGGCTAAAATGCCTCAAAATGTACTATAAGGTATGTGACTAATCAACAATTCTTCCTATTCAGGTTATATGCTATCAAAGTTGTGGTTGTTGCTTATTTTCTTTTAGCCTATACTATTGCTTTCTTACAAAAAAAAAAAAAAAAAAAAAAAAAAAAA